GCTATGGGAAAGTTGGGCATCTCCTGGAGATTGATATGGGGCAGAGGGCAGGGAGCCCTGTCTCGGGGCCTCTTGCACTTACTGTGCCCTGATCCCTATCGCTGCTTGGCTTTGTTTAGGGCACAGATGCAGCCCTGGAGTAAGCGAGCAGCAAGTCTGCTCTGCTCAGGGCAGGGTTTTGTTTGGTCTTGTCTCCCTGCGCCCCCGTCTATCTCTGTATCACTATCATACAGAGTCTGTGTGCATGTGTGCTTCTCTCTCTCTCTCGCTGAGACATCATCTTTCTCCCACACACACACTTACCCAGGTCAGAGGCAAGGAGCCGCGCCAGTCCCTCCCTCCCTCTCTGCCTTCCCAGGTGGATGTAGGGAAGCTAGGAGAGCTGCAGTCACTTGCTGTGATGCATCTCTGCTGCCTGTGGCACCCCGAGCCAGCATGGTGGAAGCTGCTGCCCAAGGAGGCTGCAGGCAGGATCCCAAGTCTCTGCCTCTCCCAGAGAAAGGGAGACAGGGGCTTGCTCTGGAGTAGCGGGAGTGACATGACAGCAGGGTTCCCTGGAGACACAGCTGCCTGCAGACCCCATGCTCCAGGGGCTCCTTCTGCACTTTGCCTGGGAGCAAAGCAGTGAGCCGTCTGCAGAGAGCAAGTGGCAGGAACACAGAAAAAGGGATGCTGGAAAGGCAAAGCACAGGAAAGGCAAAGCCAGGCATAGGAGAGGAAAGGAGGGGAGATCCTGCTTCAGGTTTGGACTTTCCCAACCCCAAACATTGCCTCTGGTTCCTCTCCACCTTCCTGCCTTTTTCACATTCTCTCCTTTCCCTGAGGGGCTCCCAGGGGGTATGGGAGCCAGGCTGGGGTGGACATAGCATGCTTCCAGCTGTCAGGGGCAGAGGCTCCCTGCAGGACTTTCCCACCATCTGCCTGGACCAGACCCAATTTCCATCATGGGCTATGGTACATCTTCTCGGGGCAGTTGTCATGTCTGCGCTGGGTGCTGGCTTTCCTAGCCTCATTGGCCCTGCTGCTCACCTAGTCGTGTAACCACATCCGCTACCTGCTCTTGTTGCCCATGAACACCAGGAAGTTCAGGAACACGAACGAAGAACAAAGGAAAGTCTCACAGCTCACAGCATGGGATCCAGCACTGAAAGGGCAGGTTGGTGTAGTGGTCCAGCATTGATGGAAGGGAATGGGGAATAGTGGTTAGAGCATGAGGTACTGGGAGCCCAGACCCCTGTTTCTATCCCAACCGCTGGAGGGTTTGGGGTCTAATGGTTAGAGCATAGGGGGCTGGGGTCCAATTCTGGATGGGGCTATGGGTTAGGAGACGTGATTCTATTCCTGGCTCTGCCTCCTTTTCTGTGTAACTTTAGAAGTGTCCCCTCCCTTACCTGAGCCTGTTTCCCCTCTGAGCGATGGGGAGAGGTGTGCCCTGCTCTGTGCAGGAAGGGAGGGCAGTGAGACTCCTAAATGTTTGCAAACTGCTTTTCATTCCTTCCATAAAAGCCACTGGAGAGAGAGCCTCAGTCTCCTTCCCTGTGTTCCTCTTTATATTCATTATCTGCCCACACCTCTAATGGGGCCATTAGCCAAGTGTCTGCAAAGGAAACATTAAAAAGCCAAATGTAACTGAGAACTGGCTGGGGCATGTCCCCTCTGGACAGGGGTCCTGCCTGCAGTGCCTGGGTTTGAGCAGGTTTCAGTGGATTTGTTATTTCGTCTGTTCCATGCTTGTTCCAGGGCCATTGCTGCGATTACATATTGCTTAGAGTCTAATGCGGCTGGATCTCTGGGGCTTTTCCCATCCTTGAATTCTATGACTGGCAAAGCTGAGCCCCCGGCCCCCATCCCACCTCGAGACATGGAGGACCTGCCCTAGAGGGGGGGAGGGCAAATGGACACGGGCTGCATAGCAAGATAGAGACTGGCAGAAAGGGGTTGCTGGGCTAGTGGGGGAGGGGAATATCAGGGAGGGCTACTGTGACACATGGCTAGAAAGGGTTAAACATCCTGCAAAATAAACAACCCTCAAAAGACATGTGGAGGGATAATGTTTGTGTTTGTTTGTATTTACATATGTATGAGTAGGGTCAACAGTGTAATCAACAGTCCCTGTCTATGCTGTATTCTGATAATTCAGAGATCAAAGAACATCCTAGCACTTAAATGAACTGTAAACATGGGATATCTCTGTATTCATCTCTCTTTGAAATGTATAGCAAATAATCTGTGAATGGTGGAAGAACAAGCAAATTGTTTTATGTTAATTCTATAGCTAAGTACTGGTGATGGATCTCCTTCAAAGTCATCCTAATTATCTTTTGTTCCCGGAGGAAATCCCAACTTGTCAAAGACGACATGAAATTGTATAAAAGATCCTTGGGTCCTGATCCTGTTCATCTCAGCTCTGCCTGAGGCTTCATTCAGGGGAAGCTTAGGCCATAAAGTCTGAGATCCCAGTCCTAAGCAGGAACACCCTGCATTGACATTGGACTATAACCTATGAACTATTTCTGAAAGAACTCTTTGCAACTACAAAGCTCACCATCACTATGAATCTGAATCTTAGGAATTGAACGCATGTCTGTATGTATATTGATCTTTTAACCATACTCTCTCTCTTTTGTTTTTTAATAAATTTTAGTTTAGTTAATAAGAATTGGCTGTAGCGTGTATTTGGGTAAAATCTGGATTATTCAGTAACCTGGGAGGTAATGTGTCCAATCCCTTGGGATTGGTAGAAACTTTTATTTTATATGATGAAATAAGATTTTCAGGAATCATCATATTTGACTTAGGTACCTGGGTGGAGGCCTGAGTCTGGATCACTTTAAGGGAACTGTGTTGTTTGGACTTTGGAGTAACCAGTAAGGTAATAAAGAAGCTGGCTTGGTAAATCTAAGCATTGGAATATCCACCAGTTTTATGGGGATTGTCTGCCCCCATTCTTTGCAGTTCACCCTAATTGAGTGATCATAGCTGGCCCCTACTGGGACACCCCAGTCACAGCTAGTCTCCCACGGGGGAGCCCCATCACTTGGCACATTGGCAATGAAGGCTGGAGAAGGACCTAGCAGGGCCTGTCCTGCACCATTGTGGGGTCTCACAGGTCTTGTCCATGCCTGATTAACTTCCTTCCTTGGAAGCCCCTTAGCTTTGAATTGATCTCAACACATTGCCACTCCTCTTGCTCCCCATCTCGGTTTTGATGGGAGCTCTGCCGCCCCTTCTGGAAGCTCCTGGTGATATTAGCTGAAGAATGGTACTGGCTTCGTCTCTGCTCCCTTGCTCCCTGGGGACTGGGCTGGCAGGGAAGGAAAGCCATGAGTCCCAGGAGTGAAAGAGTCCCACCTGGGAGGTGACATGAAGGGAGATGGGGAGTGCCCAGCTGCTGAGGAAGAGATGAATGCAATGGTGGTGGGAAGAGGAGAGGAGCCCTGGGGAGATAAATAGGGGTTATGGCAAATGCATACCAAGGAGGGAGCAGAGGGGACACAGGAGCCCCCCATGAGGGACATGGGGGCAGGGTCCCCAGGGAATGCCCTGGACTGTGATGCTGAAGTGACTGGGACAAAAGCTGACCCACAAAGGCCTGATACTGTGAGGCACTGAATTCCCACTGAAGTTAATAGGGCTCAGGGGCCGAGCGAGACAGTTCAGCCTGGAGACTGCCCCTCGTCACTGCTTCCAGGATTTTAAGTGTAGAGACCTCAACCTGCTTAGTCCCATGGCCAAACATACTGGAAAATTCATGCCAAAATTTGGAAAAAAATGTATCAGGGTTCACAAGAGAAAAGGTATCAGAATGAGATACAAGTATTTTTGGAATCACAACTGAGTGGTTATGCAGAACAAACATAATCAAAACCTATCCAGTCCCTTTCTCAGAGAGAGATATTGGTTAGAATCTTTTTATTTTGTTGGACAGTCCTTGGTGGGAAAGAAAGGGCTAGGTCTGCTGTCCAATTCTGAGTTACAGACTTTCCCTGCTTTGACAAAACAAACAGACACGGGGAAAGGGTGCCAGCAGGAACCAAAGTCTCACAGCCCGGGTGGAGAGTTAGCCAGAGCTGGTGGAGGTGGCGCTGCCATCTGGGTCCCCTTCTCTGGTCAGGACATCATCGGGTCAGGATGGCAAAGGCCCAAGAGTGTCATGGTCGATGTTGAGGTCCTAGGAGATGGTGAGGATGGTAGCCATAATGGTAAAGGTCCCTCTTGCAGTCCACCCATCTTGCAGCAAGGCAGCCAGCTTGATAATCACCACAAACTTTTTTTAAGGACCCCCAAAAGGGAATAATGAGTGGAATAGCCCATCCCCTCATTACTTTGTTCACCAGTTAAGCCTAATTTCTGACACACCAATTTTGTCCATTGATTTCCAGTCCCACACATCTCTTGTTTAGCACATGTGCTTTTAACACCCTCCTGGGGCAATCTCAGTTGACCTTTTGGTTTGCACTAATCCAGTTTGTTGTCTCTTTTTGCCCCTTTTCCCATTAATGTTGGATATTAGCGATGGGACCAGTTGAGCTCACAATTGGAGTAGAATTATCAGGCCCCAGTTATTACAACGGACCCTGAATGGTGCCCCTGCAGTGGGGGTGGGGGAGTCCCCAATCAGTGACCCCATGATATGGGGTGAGTATCCAGGAGGTATACCCGATTGGTGACCCTGCAATGGGGGGGGGTATGTGGGGGGTAGGTTGGTGACTCTGTGATGGGGGGAATATCCCCAACTGGTGACCCTGCAATGAGGGATGAGTATGCATGGGGGTGGGGCAGTGTCCCCGGTTGGTGACCTTGCAATGGGAAGTGAGCATGCAGGAGGTGGGGGTGTTGAGCTCCAATCAGGGACACCCCGTGTTTGTCACTCCCTGATGTACTGACTGGCTGGGCACAAGTCAATGGGTTTGGTCCCCGCTTAGCACCCAGCCTGGTGGTAGGGTCTGGGCCCGCCAGCTCTGTGTCTAACTGTCCCCTCCCATCTCTGTCCCCCTCAGGTCTTCACACGCTATGGCAAGTGTTACACATTCAACTCCGGACAGGATGGGAAGCCCCGGCGCATCACCATGAAGGGTGGCACCGGCAATGGCCTGGAGATCATGCTGGACATTCAGCAAGACGAGTACCTGCCTGTCTGGGGGGAGACAGGTAACAGGACCACTGTCCCTTGGCCTCCAGCAGCAGCAGCACTGGCTGGAGCAGCTGTGTCTGCAACTCCCTCCCTGCCCCAGGCGGCGATGGGCACCTCTGCTTCCACACCCAGAGCACTTTGCCCTAGTCCGATGGCAGGCCATCACCACTGCCTTGATACCTGTCCATTCAACCTCCTGCCTCTCAGCCAGAGCTCACTCTGCCAAAGCCTCCCCGTCTCTGTCTCCTGACAAGCTGTATTTCCATGACAGCTCTTCATGGCTTGTTGTTCATAGTGTGGGGGGGCCTGGTTTGTGGGGCCCAGCTTGGCACAGCAGTGTCCAGCTGAAGCCGCTGAGCACCACCACAGTAGCAATAATAAGGCCTGGGGAGGAGGGTCAGACAGGCCTGGAGAAGGGACAGGCGCAGTCACTTGGGGCTGCTTGTAGTCGGTTCCCATGAGGTAGCCATAGCCCCATAAAGGCCCATGCGTTGTCTCCCTGGAGCTGGGCCCTTGCCATGCCCTGTCTCCAGCAGCCCCAACCCCCATGACCCTACCCCTAGGCCCCCATCTTCTCAGGTCCTCCCATTTCAATCTATTTTTCTCCTCCTTTTTTCTTACCTCTATTATTTGCCATGGCAACTGCCTGCCAGTTTAAATTAAGCAGCACTTGTCTATAAATAGTTCCACCCACTTCCCTGCTGCTCTCCCAGGGCCATGGAGTGGGAGGGTGGTGGGGAAGAAGAGAATGGGAACGGAGGGGCTAGGAGGGAGGGAAAGCAGACGGAAGGAAGGAATGCATGCGGGTGGGAGGGTGGCACATGCAATAAACCTAAGGAGCCCCAGCCCCTACCCCCCACCTAGCCTGAAACAACACTTCCTGTATGGGGGGGGGGGAAGGGAGGGGTGCAGTGAGCAGGTGGGGAAGGGAGGGGCATATAGAGCAGGGTTGGGGCTGTGGACTAGTGGAGAGGGAACAGGCACTGAATTCTTCCCCAAGACAGACACTGGAGAGATTGTCATGTAGGTGATAGACAGACACACACACACACACTGCAAAGCTGGGTGGAGGAGAAGGTATGTCTGAGAACAGCCCCAGGCCTGAGCAGATCTGGCCACACGCATGTGGCGATGGGCATGACCGGCTTCCCCATCAGTGAAACATTCACCCAACCGCAGCATCCTTCCAGAACAGTTACACAGGCAGCTGGGCAGGAGGGACTTGCCCAGACAGAAACCCGCCTCTGCCATCTGTTGCTTCCAAACCCGCTGGGGAAGGTAGGATGAGAGTGAACGTGTTAGACCAGGTGTCAGAACGCCTGGGTTGTGTCCCAGATCTGAGAGGCAGCGTGTTCTAGAGGCTAGAGCAGGAGATTGGGAGTCAGGACTCCTAGGTTCTGTTCTCACCTCTATCATCTTGGGTGAGTCACTCCCCCTCTCTGTGGTGTTTCCCCATCTATAAAATGGGATGAATAATACCCACTTCCCAGGGTGGTCTGAGTCTCTGTTCGTTAATGTTTCCAAGGCAGTTGGAGGTCCCTGTGTGAAAGGCACCAAGAATGGGCCAGTTCTGCTCTCACGCTGGTGTAAATCAGGAGTAACCCTACTGAAGCCTGTGGAGCGAACTCAGGGTATATTCAGTGTTAAAAGGGGAATCCTGACTTTGTTCACCCGTGCAGGGATATAAGAGAGGGCCTGGCTCACCCTGACCTGGTGGCGCCATTCTCACCTGTGCAAAGCGACTGCGAGATGTGACCAAACGAGATCCCTCCCCTCACTCACACCACTGTGTGTGTCACATGTCTGCATTGCACAGCTGTAGATGGCAACAAGGTGACAGCTGTGCGGAGTTGGACCCCTCATCCTTGGAACTTCTGGTGCCCTCTGAGACGGTCCCATGGCTCTGTACTCGTCCAGGCCTGAAAGGGCTCTTCACACTGGCAGGGACAGGGTTAATTCCGCACCAGGCTCCATTACAGACAGGACAACCTCTCTGAAGCTAAGTTAACATATGCCCTGAGGGAGAGCAGAATAGGTGTATCCTGCCGATATGAAATGGGCTCCAGGGAGTTCTCACCCCAGGATGCCTGGGTTCCCCAGCCCTCTCAGATACTCAGCTCCCACTTTTTTTGTTGTTGCAGATGAGACCTCGTTTGAAGCTGGGATCAAAGTGCAGATTCACAGCCAGGATGAACCTCCCTTAATTGACCAGCTGGGCTTTGGGGTGGCGCCTGGATTCCAGACCTTTGTGTCCTGCCAGGAGCAGCGGGTGAGGGGCAGGAGAGCACTGGGCTGGGCACTCTGTGCTGGCAGCCCCTGAGCTGCCTCTGCCTGACACAGACAGAGAAGAAATACTAAGCGGGGGGAAGGGAGGGATGCAGCATTCCAGGAGCCTGGAGGGTTAGGGCGGGATAGGATCGAGGTCTGTAAAATCCTGAATGGTGTGGAGAAAGTGAATAAGGAAGTGTTATTTATCCTTTCACATAACACGTGAACCGGGGTCACCCAATGAAATTAATAGGCAGCAGGTTTAAAACACACAAAAGGAAGTACTTCTTCACACAACACACAGTCAGCCTGTGGAACTCGCTGCCATGGGATGTTGTGAAGGTCAAAACTATAACTGGGTTCAAAAAAGAATTAGATAAGTTCCTGGAGGGTAGAGCCATCAATGACAATTATCCAGGATGGTCAGGGACGCAACCCCATGCTTTGTGTCCCTAAGCCTCTGATTGCCAGATGCTGGGACTGAATGACAGGGGATGGATCACTGGATTATTGCCTTGTTCCCTCTGAAGCTTCTGGCATTGGCCACTGTCAGAAGACACGATTCTGGGCCAGATGGACCATAGGTCTGACCCAGTATGGCCATTCTTATGTCATTGCACTTCTTGACAATTATAACAAACAATCATGAGCCAAATCAGCTGGGAGAAAGAATTTAATCAGAAAAGCATTAAGGATAATTGGGAATTGTTTAACAGCACTTCCACTAGATGCCCCAAAAGCCACCATCCCACACTCGAGGACGAAGGCTGTATTATTAAAAAAAGACCTGGTTTAGAGGGGAAGAAAAGCCAGCTATGAAAAAATTAAAAATAATATATAACAAAGGGGAAATTGATATTAATACAAATCAGATGCTAGAAATTGTAGAAAATTGATAAGGAAAGCAAAGGGACACAAGGAGAAAACTGTAGCCAGCAGAGTTAAGGAATATAAGGAGTTTTTAAAATATATTAGGAACAAAAAGAATCCTAACAATGGTATTGGTCTGTTATTAGATGGAAATGGTAGACTTATCAATAATAATGCAGAAAAGGCAGAAGCGTTCAGTAAATGTTTCTGTTCTGTATTTGGGGAAAAAACATGAAATAATCATATCAGATGATAACACCCTTTCCATTCCACTGATATCTCAGGAGGATGTTAAACAGCTAAAATTAGACATTTTAAAATCAGTAGAATGGGGAAAAGTGAGCCTGACACAGGGGCTTGCGGGGCCTAGTTAATCAATACTCTGAAATTCTCAGCTTGCTCCTATGGTGGCCTGATCGGTGCCTGGTCCACCTTGGTGCTCAACAAGAGCCTTCTGGGAGCATTCCCTGGGGAGAGAAGGGATGGGGCACCTGTTCTCATTCCTCCCTGCTCTGCCCCAGCTGATCTACCTTCCCCCGCCCTGGGGTAACTGCCAGTCCATAACCAGAGAATCTGAGTTCTACGACACCTACAGCATCGCGGCCTGTCGCATTGACTGTGAGACCCGCTACCTGGTGGAGAACTGCAACTGCCGCATGGTGCACATGCGAGGTGAGCCCAAATGGGGACAGGGACAGGCCCAAACCAGCCCCGGGTAGGACACTCCCTGTGCAGCTCAGAGCATCTCCCTGCCACTCCAGATCAGACCAATGGGCCCATCTAATGCAGTATCCCCCCAATGCCTCTCTGCCCCAGATCAGACCAATGGGCCCATCTAACGCAGTATCCCCCCAATGCCTCCCTGCCACCCCAGATCAGACCAATGGACCCATCTAGCCCAGTATCCCCCCAATGCCTCCCTGACCCAGATCAGACCAATGGGCCCATCTAGGCCAGTATCCCCCCAGTGCCTCCCTGCCACCCCAGATCAGACCAATGGGCCCATCTAACCCACTATCCCCCCAGTACCTCCCTGCCCCAGATCAGACCAATGGGCCCATCTAACGCAGTATCC